ACAGATAAAATTATGACTTACCTGTTTGATTTCCCACATGGCCCCAAGCCTGGGAACTCCCATCAACCATGGCTCCCATTTGACCTGATCTTGGTGGATGCATGGAAACCACTCTTTTTTGGAGAAGGCACAGTACTTCGTCAGGTATATACTAAAACTGGCAAGCTGAAAATTGGTACCTACACAGGGCCCTTACAGCATGGTATTGTCTACTCAGGAGGTTCATCTGATACAATCTGTGATCTGTTGGGAGCCAAGGGTAAGGACGTTTTGTATATTGAAGATCATATTTTTTAGGACATTTTGAAATCAAAGAAACGACAAGGGTGGCGAACTTTCTTAGTGATTCCTGAACTTGCACAGGAGCTTCATGTCTGGACTGATAAGAGTTCACTTTTTGAAGAGCTTCAGAGCTTCGATATTTTCTTGGCTGAACTCTACAAGCACCTTGACAGCAGCAGTGCCCATGAGTGCCCAGACATTAGCTCCATCCAGAGACGTATAAAGAAAGTAACTTATGACATGGACATGTGCTATGGAATGATGGGAAGCCTGTTTCAAAGTGGCTCCCAGAAAACCCTCTTTGCCAGCCAGGTGATGCGCTATGCTGACCTCTACGCCGCATCTTTCATCAACCTGTTGTATTACCCATTCAGCTACCTCTTCAGAGCTGCCCACTTCTTGATGCCTCATGAATCTATGGTGGAACACACCTATGTAGATATCAGTGAGATGGAGTCCTTGCTCGCCACTCGGAACCGTACTTCAGTGGATTTCAAAGATACTGACTACAAGTGGCACCAGTTGACGCGGTCTATTAGTGAGATTAACCCCCCCCAACCTATTCCCACTGGACCCCCAGGAAATCACACACTGCCATGATGAAGATGATGATGAAGAGGAGGAAGAGGAAGAATAAGAACGAAAACCAAAACACTGAACACCCATTAAACCAGTTCTGGCAGGACTCACAGTAGCAGACCATGTCCCTGCTTGGGTCCTAGTGGGGGGGGGGGGGCATTCCATTAAAGGTATACCTGAAAAGTTTCTGAAGCCCTTAAGACAATTCTAATCATAGGAAGATAGTGGTTTTAGTTTTGTGTGTTTACACTCTTTACAGATGGTTTAAAATTGTAATGGAGTCTGAATTAGGAAAAAGGAAGGGTAAAAGCTGGGTTGAATTGCATGAAGATGGCTGGCTCCGTTGTGGCTTGTGACCCCGTTTCCTTGTCTTGTTTCATCATCAGTCTGTTAAGTGTCTCAGGTGGAAGGAGGAAGATGATGGAAGAGATGATCCAAAAATGCTGTTATGTTACAAATTGTGCTCTTACTCCAAAATCCATCTTTTTCAGTGCATTGCATAGTATTGTATGTCAGTGGAGAAATATATTGTTCCCAGGATCAAATGTAGTCTTCTGTTTAGGTCAAAGTTCCTTGTGTTCTCTGCTTGCTATAGGGCTGATTTGGAATGGACTGCAGCAGTTTCATTTTGAGGCAAAAGTTTCATCTGTTTCTATAGTTCTATGATTGATAAGGTTTTTTGTTTTTTTCTTTTCAAAAAAACAATCTTCTCATCTGGGACAGATCTATAGAAAGAATTTAGTTGAAAGAGGACGAAGGAACAGGCCCCCCAAAAGAAAAGGAGGAACTTTCTTATATTACAGCATAACTGAGTAATTCATTGGTATGGGCTATATTGTGTAGCTTGTGCTACTGAATTCCAGCTCTCTCGATCCTCTCAAGTTGAGTGCTGAGTTACATTGTCAAGCAGTAGAAGATAGAACGTGGGATCTGAAAGCCAAAACTTTACAAAAGCTGAGGGCACAATCAGTGTGAATGAATTCACTTCAGAATCCCAAAAATCACTTCTTGTCTTGAACAAGAATGGATCATTACTGTATACACTAGGGAAAAAGGGGTATTATCCCAGTACAATGGTGTAGACTCCTAACTTGTGTCATCCTTCATTCTTGTGTCATTGGTCAACATGGAAGGGTCAATTAGTTCTAGAACTCAATAGAGTATAATATTTCTTAAAAAAAAAAAAAAAGCAAGTTTAAGTTTAAATGATCAAATTCAGAATACAAAGTTGGGTGAAATAGGACTAATCTCACATATGGGTACTTTTTTCTTTTCCATTCTTTTATCTGCTCCTTCCCCATTATCTCATTATCACTAATGCAATGTACAGTGCTATTGGAAAGAAGAGAGGCTTCCCGCCTTAGGGCTTATGCATATTCTCTACTTGGGATCTGTTTCTTTCCATTCTTTCTTTAGCTAGCTACCACTCATTCTCTAGGTCTCAACTTAAAACATCACTTCATATGAGAAGCTTCCCATGACCCCATGGACTTTATATGAGGTCGTAGACCATGTGTATTTTGTGCACTTTGATTCTCCAGAAGATAGTGGGATGCTTGGCACATATCAGGCCCTTATTAATTGGTATACTAATCAACTGTCATCATGAAGATTTGGATCTAAATGGCAGAGGCAGGTAGATAAACAAATTAAGAAATACAATGTACTCGGTTTAATACTAGAAGCAGTTTGAGTTCACAGGGGAGGAAACAACTCTGCACAAGAGGAGAACTGGAGTCTATTTGCTCTTTTCCTTTTTAGAACTAGTACGATATTAGTATCTATTTTTCAAGTTCATTTATTTAAAAACATTCGGAATATCTGTTCATGCCAAAATCTGTTCATGCCAAAATGTTCATAACAAAGCTTTCCAAAACAGTTAAATTATCCATATTTTGTTTCTTGTAGCCTTTTGTTTAAAGTTGTTTTCTCTGAGATGTTTTACAGGATGGTGTGTGGGAGGTAAGTGAGAGGGAAAACTGTGATTCTTGTTTCTGGTAGGTTTTATTAAACTAATATGCTCTTGTATATCATTTTTCTTTTTAGGTTCTTGAAGCCAGATATTTGAAATTTACCATTGTCATCTATCTGGGCAACTATAACTTGTCTTTGTTGTATATACAATTATAGAGATATTAATTATTCTTAAAACAATTATAGTTTAAGTGTCAGGTGGTAGAAGAATGTAAATGAATACATTAAAAAATAGGTAATATTTATGTTTAATGTTTTTCATAGATAGTTGATAATGTACTATTAATTTACCTTTATAATTAAAATTTCATCTATATTATATAATTAGTATAAAATATTTTTAAGACCTCACCTAAAAATTTAAAATTATAGTGACCTCCAGAAACATCTAGAGAGCATGAAAATTATTATTTTATTAGTCTTTAAGCTTTTTTTTTCTATTTCCTGCTTTTCTCTTGACACCTTATTCTTTCATTTCTGTAATAGAATTCAATATGAAGATCCATATTATCTTTTATTTAAAATTATTTATTTTTTATTCTCTAAAGTTTTACATATGTCTTCTTTCCCCCGATTGACACCCCCGTCCCCAGCCATTCCCACCCTGAGCAAGCCCCCACCAACCCAGTGTCTGTGTCCATTGGTTTTGCTAATGTGCATGCACACAAGTCCTTTGGTTGTTCTTCAACCTCCCCACTTCCCAGCCATTTGTCTCTGGATCTATTCTTGTTTATCCAATTATGTTGATCGTTATATCCCATATATGAGTGACATCACGTGGTATCTGTCTTTCTCTGACTGGCTTATTCCATTCATGCTGTTGCAAAGGGTAAGAGCTCATTTTTTATAGCAGCATAGTATTCCATTTTGTAGATGTACCACAGTTTTTTACTCCATTCATCTGCTGATGGGCACTTAAGTAGTTTCCAAATCTTAACTATTGTAAATTGTGCTGCTATGAACATAAGGGTGCATATATCCTTTCTGATTGGTGTTTCTGGTTTCTTGGGATATTTGGGAAGTGGGATTATTGTGTCAAATGTGAGTTCAATTTTTAACTTTTTGAGGAAACACCATACTGTCTTCCACAGTGGCTGCACCGGTTTGCATTCCCACCAGCAGTGCAGGTTCCTTTTTTCCACATCCTTGCCAGCACATATGGTTTGTTGATGATAGCCATTCTGACAGGTGTGAGATGGTACCTCATTGTTGTTTTGATTTGCATCTCTTGGATGATTAGTGACTTTGAGCATGTTTTCATATGTCTCTCAGCCTTCTGTATGTCCTCTTTTGAAAAGTGTCTATTTAGGTCCTTTGCCCATTTTTTGATTGGATTATCTTTCTTTTGTTAAGTTTTATTCTCTGTAAATTTTGGAGATTAAGTCCTTATCTGAAATATCATTGACAATTATGTTCTCCCATGCAGTGGGCTTTCTTATTGTTTTGTTGACTGTTTCTTTTGCTGTGCAGAAACTTTTTATTTTGATGTAGTCTCATTTGTATGGCTCATGAGCCGAAGTTTGCCGACCACGGACCTAGGAGGTCAGGGTTCCATTCCCAGTCAGGGGACATACCAGGGGCGTGCAGGAGGCAGCTAGTCAATGATTCTCTCTCATCATTGATGTTTTTATCTCTCCCTCTCTGCTCCTCTCTCTGAAATCAATAAAAATATATTAAAAAATATTTTCCCAGCATTTATATCTCAATATAGCCTTTTATACTTGCAGGAAAAAAGTAGTGTTTTTACAACTCCAAGAAATGACTAGAAATTACTGATTTGTTGAGTTATGTTAGACAGCTGTTTTAAGGAAGAATTATTAGAGAGGTTATTAGAGACTTCTGAATACATAGGAGATCTGCTTGGATTTTTTGTTAGTTTAACGTTCAAAAGAAAAAGACCTGTGATAAAGTTTCTCTGAAACTTTACCATTTTCCAAGATATGTTAAAATCTGTGGATCCCCCCCCCCCCCCCCCCCATTTTTGGATTTCTCAGTAACCTCATCCTAAAATGATTTCTCTCTTCTAACATACCTAATGCTTCATTTTCCTCTTGTCACAATTTTATTACTCCTAATACATATTATTTTCTTTTTCTAGAATTTCCAGATACACAGGATGAATAAACATTAGTGGAAAGAGAAGCATAAACCTATCTTCTTTCACTATGGAGGCAAGTTTGACAGATGGAGAACTTGACCGAATTTTGGTGAGTGGTTCAAATATATCATAATAAGCTACTATCATCTACAGCTATGAAGTGTTTTATTTAAGTCATGATTTTATTTTAAAAATGTATTACAAACAAGCTTTAAAAAAATAATACTTAAACTCGTTGATGTGAAAGTTACAGATAGTCTAAATCCTTTTGTAGAACAACCTAGTCAGTTTTCTGATTTTTTTTTTTTTTTTTGCCCCATCTCCACCCTTTATCCACTTTCTAGTGGTATAGTGTAAGATATACTGATATAATAGTTTATGTTTATGTTTTCCTCAAAACTTTCTGCCTTAGGGAAATCAAGAGAATTATATTAGTTGAGGAAATTAAGTGCCTCCAAATCTCACAACATATGAATTTATGAGCAGGTGGAGTAAAACAGTTAATTAAGAACATTTGCCACATATATTCTTTCTATAAAAGTCTGAAGATTTAATAAACATTACTGCCTTGTGATTGTGATTAAATTGTATTCTGAAGTTAAATAAGAATAGTGGTTAAGTATACCTTAACAAAAAATAAAAAATAAAATCCACCAGCAGGATATATTAAATGATGATTTGTCATTGTACAAAAAAATGTCCCATGATAATTTCATTTTCAATTCTCCTCTAACATTTTGAGAGATCCTATTAGATACTGATTTATACGCTCTTTATTAAAAATGTTTCTATTACCTAAAGTAAGGGTGGTAACTGCATAAACTGTCAGTTTGGAAGCTGATTTGTTAGGTGGGAGATCCTTGACAAATTTGTATTGTTAGAATAATGTGAAGGTCAGATTGTCTATCTTTCACTTTGCTATGGAGTTGAGAGTCACTACTATATTGAGAGGTTTGTAAATTTTAACTTGGTGAATGTCCTTTGTTCAGACTCAAATGTAGGAACAGTCTAATGATTGACAGCAAAATGCAATTTTGCTTAACTGTATTAATTTGGTCCCAACCTTTCTTGAATTTCTGCTTCAGATTTGTTTTACTTTCTTAAGTGGTCAAAATAGTTAAACTTTAAAATGATGACTTGTTAATAGTAAATGAAATGAACATGGAAAAAGCTTGATTTGTGAAGGTTATTGTCATGATGCTTATAAATGGAAAACTGATGGTAAGTTATTTTATTTCACTATAATTTCAGAAACAAAGTTAAAATTAAGAGTCCTGTCTTTAAACATGGTGTATACTTTTCTATAAGTAGCATCTTATTTAAAGCTAATGGTCTTTCAAAGTCATTTTAGTTGAAGTATTTTAAATCTCTCAGGGATAATAAAAATGCTAGTAATAGCAACAATAGCTATTTTCTAAGTCTGTACTTTGTGAGACTATTCTCATAACATCCATTAAAGGTAGATATTTGTTTATCCTCACTTTTGTAGGTGGGCAAATAGATCGTGGAAATTTATTATTTTCCCTAAGAACTCACAGCTTAAGTGGTAGACCTTTCTGTCTCTGAATACTTTACTTTGCCACGAGGGTATTCACTGTAGATATGTCTTTCTGAATAAAATTGCATTAAATTTATTGTTACCTGTTAAAATATGTATCTAAGTAGGTAGCATTAAATTCTATAGCTGAATACCTGCACTGTATTAATGAAGTTTTAACCATTTTTATGCTAAATTCTGTTGCTGTTGAGAGGTTGGAGCAAGTTATTTTAAAAGCAATGAGAACAATTTTTTATATTTGTTCATTAAATTTCTTCAGGGAAATATTGTAGCTTATTTTAGAGAGACTACCAATACTTTCTATATGAACTATTGATGTATTCTGTACTTGAAAATAATCTTGAGATCCACTTTGAGTTACTCATTCATGAAATGTCACCTTTGACTGTCATGGCCTAAGCCTAAGCTAGTTACTGTTTAGACTTAGGGGAGTGAGCTAAAAACATGGGCCCTGTAGCATTTAGCTGTGAGTTAAAATCTCAGCTCCGTTGCTTAGTTATATAACCTGGGTAATTAATTAAATTCACTGGATTTTTATTTTCTTATTTATTAAATAAAAATAATAGTAATGTCTATCTTTGAGTTGTTTTGAGTTTTAATTGAGATAATATAAAGTGCCTATTACAAATCCATATACATTGTAAATATTCAATAAATAAAATCTATTATTATTATTGTTAATATAAGCATTTAATTTTAAGCCTTCTCTCTAAATCGATAAGTAATTAGAAGGCAGGAGAGGCAATAAGTACATTGAAAAAAGCCCAAACCTATTCAGTAATTCTGGCTTTACACTATCTCTGATTCCCAGTTTTTCTACTTAAAATATTGAGGCAAATATTCTATTTCAGTAAAAAAATATAGCAGGAATACAAGAGGGGCCGTATGATCTAGTGAAACCAGAAAGTTCTTTGAAAATATAAAGCAATGTGTTAGGATGAGGTGGCAGTGTTTTAAAAGTCTGATTGCATGCATTGGTTTTTAAAAATAGTATTAGTAAACTTTTTTTTGGAATATATTCTTTGTGCCAAGTACTGTGACAGGGGAAGTAAATGCTGACAGATGCACAATGTAGTCTTTTTGAATTATGTTTATTTTTGGGAAGACTAGGTAGAGGGACAGATAGAAAAGGCAATAATAGCATTTACTAAGTGTTAAATGAGGGGCATAAACAAGGCTTAGGTCACAAGTTGTGAAAATTGGGCGGTTGCTATACACTTGGTAGAGAAGCTTTCATGTGAGAACATAAACTTTGAATAGTATAGGTAATAGGGAATACAGGTAGTAGGGAGAATAGCAGGAGGCAAGGCTAAGTGGAGAATTAATTGTTCAAAGTTTATTCAGGGGGAAATAAGTAGAAAAATTAACTAAGGTATATTGGAAGGGAATGGTGTTTACAGAAATAATGATCAGTGTAGCAGATAGAGACAAATTTATGGAAGGCCTTGATTGCCATACCAGGGATTTTGAACTTGGTTCTGTAGGCAACGTTATGTTATAGAATATTTCTGTGTAATTGGATAAGATGAATCTGGAAGCAGGATACAAAATGATTTGGAGGAGAGCTAAATATATGAGTTACGATACCATTATAGTTTTAGTGTGAAGTTGTAAAACCTTGGTCTCAGTATGATTTTAGTGTCCATTCATTTAAGTTTTTTCTTCCATATGAGATTAATCTATTTTTTAAAATGTTTTACTGATTTTATTTATTTATTTGTTTGTTTGTTTGTTTGTTTGTTTTTTAGTGGGGGGGAAGAAAGAGGGATAGAGAGAAACATCTCTGAAAGAAACATCTATCGGCTTCCTCCTGCATAACCTCCACTGAGGATCAAACCCACAACCTATGCATGTGTCTAGACCTGGAATCGAACCATTGACCTCGGTTCATGGGTCAATGCTCAACCATTGAGCCATGCCAGACAATATTTCTAGTTTTTAAAAATGTATTCATTATTCTAGTTGCCTATTGTTCTATTTTTGTGGTAGTGTTGTTAGTCTTAGGTGGTAAATACTGAAAAATATGGATTGAATCTCTTTATTTGTGGTACTAAATATACTTCAGAACACAGTGTACATTTAATATGTCTTAAAACATTTTGCAAAAGTCCAGCATTTATATCACTTTAGAAATAAACCACTAAGAAATACCTACTTAAAGTATAAGCGTCAACTTTCTATTAATAAATTGAGGTAGACTAAAATCCTTTTAGATTAAAAAAAAATTGGGCCAGGACTGGTTTGGCTCAATGGATAGAGCGTCGGCTTGGAGACTGACGGGTCCCGGGTTCGATTCCGGTCAAGGGCATGTACCTTGGTTGCGGGCATATCCCCAGTAGGGGGTGTGCAAGAGGCAGCTGATCGATGACTCTCTCTCATCGATGTTTGTAACTCTCTATCTCTCTCCCTTCCTCTCTGTATAAAATCAATAAAATATATTTTAAAAAAATAAAAAAATAAAAATTGGCCGAGACCGGTTTGGCTCAATGGATAAAGCGTCGGCTTGGGGACTGAAGGGTCCCGGGTTTGATTCCGGTCAAGGGCCACCTTGGTTGGGGCATATCCCCAGTAGGGGGTGTGCAAGAGGCAGCGGATCGATGACTCTCCCTCATCGAGGTTTCTAACTCTCTATCTCTCTCCCTCCCTCTCTGTACAAAATCAATAAAAAAATATATTAAAATAAAATTTTTTTTAAAAATTGAATATGTTTCTTAAGGAAAGCATTAAATCTTTGAATATTTTCTATATTATTTCTCTGACCAGAAGTAACTGCTTTATAAGCTATAGTAGAGTCAAAATCTTTTATTGTATTAAAATTATTATATAAATGTTTTTTAAAAAATATGTATTTTTATTGATTTCAGAGAGGAAGGGAAAGGCAGAGAGAGATAGAAACATCAATGATAAGAGATAATCATTGATTGACTGCCTCCTGCATGCCTCCCCACTAGGGGTTAAGTCCGCAACCCTGGCATGTGCCGTGATGGGGAATTGAACCATAACCTCCTGGTTCATAGGTCCACACTCAACCACTGAGCCACTCCAGCCAGGCTTCCTGTTCGTTTTTAATTTTTCTTTTCAATATATTGAAGAAATAAAGTAGTCTGTCCTGGATTTTCCACAGTCTGGATTTTTCTCATGGTAATTGTTTAATGTATTCTTCAGTCACTTATCTTTCTTGCAAATTGGTCAGTCAGATTAGATGCTTGCTCAGATTCAGGTTCACTTTTTTTTTTTTTTTTTAATAATACTTTATTGACAGTGTGTGTATTATCAGGAGACATAATTAGTCTGTCTCGTAATAATAGCAGCTTTTGATGATCATTGCCTAGATCTGTTTATTATTATTACAATCTGTTCATTATAATAAATGAATATTATAATTGGCTTAGAAAAAAATGGGAGCTGGAGAGAATGACCGACTAGCCTCTATTTTAAAGCAAGCAAACCCACCAGCTTACATTTTGTTAGGTATTTTGTCTTTCCGTCATTTTACATTTAACCTTCTACTAAAGGGAGACATTTAATAAAATGGTAAAACAATTTGATAG